GTTATTCTTTACTGTAACTGTTCTTCCACGTGGATGTAAAGAGAGAAGATAGAATCCACATTCCACCAAGACGATGTATATTGGAGCTAAAGCTAATTTAATACTGGGACGGATAGAGTTGGTTTCTTTGTTAGATAAATCAGGAAAGCTTTCAAACTTACATTCTTGGCAGTCTCTCTTTATGACCATGTGGTGCTGCAGTGAATGAATTGCATTATAAGCCCACAACTCTGCAAGTTACCTGCTTCATTTCACTATCTTCAAAGTTTCGGAGCTACATTTCTTTCCAAATTTTATCAATCAAGTTACCAACCGCTCCATATGCATGTAGGACTACAACAGGAAGAACCCCCCCACCCCCCTTAAAACTCTGCAAAGAGTGTGCTAAATAAGAAATAATGTCTACTGCAGTCTTTTGGCTCCATTCTTCATGGAATTTTAGCATTTTCCGGTCTAAATCTCTGAATTTTATACCAGGGGGAAAAAAAAAAAGAAAGTAATTTTGTTAGCCGAAGGGCACATTGCCAGTTCATAACTTCACGACTGAACTGAACTTCGCCTGAGCCTCTCTACATGAACATCAGCAGCAGCACGTGCTTTTAATGCAAAAGATGTTTTCCAAGCTGGTGCAAATCCTGGAAACAATAGCATGGGACAGGCCACTCATTCACTTCAGACCCTGCCAGGGAGGGTTAGAGCAATCCGTTTCCATCCAGTCTGGCATTAACTAGGCCCAGTGAGAAGGGTCAGACAAGCGTCCGTGTAAATCAACAGCAGAGTCTCTGAAAGCAACTCCTGCCACTGTTGCCTGGGAAGTGATTTGATTTAAACACCTTTTCTTGAATGAAGTCAGGCACACCGTTACATTATTTTCACTACAAATGCACACCACGCTCCTGCAATATAAGAAAGAAATGTTTTTGAATGCTATTGACAATCCTGCTAAGCAATGAAGCCATGAAACTCAAGTTGACTGTTTAGATGTGGAGATTAAACCGTTTCACGCGTACGACCTGTTGGCAGCTTGCCAAAGGACACAGTCTTCCATTTTCCTGCAGAGTCGCTGAGTGAAAAATACATGTAATGTTGTGGGCTTATTCACACAAATATAGTCAGGAAAAAGAGAAATGTGATTACTGATATACAAAAAAAAATAGCAGTCTGGGGAGTTCAGCCCGTCTGGTCCGGAAAGGTTCAAAAGTATAATGAGTACAAACGGGATGTAGCAACAAACGCGAGGAATGAACGAGCAAAAAGGAAACAAGAGAACAAAAAATAATAATGATACAATAATTACATCAAAATAACTTTCAAAACACGTTTCACACACAGGCTGATCCTGGTTAATTTTGGGGGCTTTTCTTAGCTTTCCTTTTATCCACGACTCAGACGCCGAAAGATTCAGGGAAGGAAAATGAGGCATTATTATATAATCCTGAGATTATGCCAACCATGATCTCAGCGAACAGCAATCGGCCCCATAACCAGAAGTATGTGACCCGAACACACAAGACTCCAGAGAGCCATTACGGTGGCTTATGCTGCTTGTTTTCCAGCCACAGTTTTGCTTCCACATGCAAAACAATTTTTAAAAAGTCCTGTTAAAATACTTTAAAGTACATGTTTCTGGGTAATCTAATAGTGATGGGAATATAACCCACGCAGGACGTGATAAGACTCAACCTGCCTGTGTTTTACAGGGGAAACAATATAATGAACATTGCTCTACACCTCAGGCAGACAGCACCAGATGGTACTCACTATTATATATTTAAAGCACAGCTCTTGGCTGATTCTTGATGGATGAACGCTGAGGAGTGGAATATGAAATTAGCTATCGTTTCCACACATTAGGTTCTGATGAGGATATTGTCTGAAGCAGCTTTGGGCTCAGAAAGTCTATTTTGGCGACACATCAGAGGCTCTTCGGCTTCCTCAACGAAAGCAGGATTGAAGGCCAAAAAGTCTGAGGGGAGAGTGTGTCTCCGATTCCCCTGGGAGAGGAAGTGGAGGACAGAAAATACAGAGCTGAGAGCCAGAGCTGCTCCTCAGAAAGCCCGGGCATCCTGCCTCTCCCGGCGAGGGACCTCTGTACACGTTTCCACCAGCTGCCCTCAGAAAACAGACCAGGCACTGTGCAGAGCGCTCGTCTGTCCGCACGCTGGTGGAATATGGCCGCGTTCAATCAGCAGGTTGCATATTTCTCGAAATCAGAATTCATTTTATGTGGGCGTCCTTCGAGCGGATATCAAAAACAGGGGGTAAAGTCAGGCTTTAACAAATGCCAACTGTATTTGCAAAGCAGAATAAGAAGAATCAAATCCATTTTCTTAACCGCTTATTCAGCTGAGGATCTTTGGGGGATGGAGTCTCTCCCAGCAGAGGCGGGGTAAAAAACACAAACCGGTCGCTGGTACATCACATGGCAAAGCAGAAACTGGATCCAACATGTGCAACACTGTGGCTGGAACTCAGTATTTCTCTCGTGCTGAGCTTATTAGCGCAAAATATGAAAAGCTGGCAGGTTTGTACAAGCTGACTTCCAAGTATTTAAAACCAGCATTTAAAAGCAAAAGCTTATCGTAATCTTTAAAATGTGTAATGATTAACATTTGAAAAGTTTGGCTTCTATTGATCTGGAGCCTGACCAATACTGGATACCAATGTTTTAAAGGTGAAAAAATATATATATATATGATATCAGCAATGAATGTCACAAATCAACCTGCAGCTTACTGTGAAGACGCTGCTTCACTACTAGGGACGGGGCAACAATACAGCATAGTATGGCGCTATTATGCATAGCGGTATTGTGTGTGTAAATACTCTGGTGATGCTACTATACTTTAAGAAGAGGGCTAATCTCCTGCAATATATTAAATCAGCTAGCTTAGTGAAAAAAAGCTAAAAATCGCAACAATATCACATTGAGAGTGAAATATGGGATGATTCCCCTTTCTACTGAATGATGAGCTCTGATGCTACTCTGCTACCTGTGCTACAGACAGCATAGAGTAAACAGGAGCTGAAGCCCTCTGCTGGACAAACTATGTGATGACACCCTGATCAACTTAACCGAGATCTGCATGTTCTATAGGTAAGTTTCATACTAGTGAATACTGCACAACATATGAACCAATACCACTTCTTTCTTTTTTTTTTTATTATAGCAACTGTCATTAGTAGATATTTTGTTTGGTTCAATAATACTGCCTCTTGTAAGCCAGTTAAAATGTGTTAGTGATGTAATGATGTCAGCCATGCATTTTTCCCCCCTCTATTTAAATATATAGCACAAAAAAAGAAAAGTAGAGAATAAGACATTCCAAACAAGTTGATTTGACAAATCAATTTCAGTGAGGTAACTAGGCTCATGAGCGTTTCCCTGTGAAGCAGAACTTCCTGAGAAGTCTGGCGCGGCCTTCAGCAGGAGGCGAGGATTTGGATAAAAGACGAGGGGGCTCTGAACAGAGAAGATCTGACGGCAGGTTGTGACAGTGAGAGAACCACAAGATGACCCGCACTGACAGTCGTCCCTCTTCGAGGTGGAGACCTCCAAACTCTCCCCCTTGTGTGAAAATAAAGTAGACAAAGAAGGCAAATAAAAAGACACTCGTGTGAAACAACAAGCCCCTGTTGCATGCGGAGCTGGACGGCAGTGCAGAGTTACGGGATGTTTACGTCACACAGAAATGAAGTAGACAGCAGGTGTGTGCCAAGTTTTGTCAAGACACTCACTAAAAATAAGCTGAGGACAATTTGACAAAGAGCCGAAGAACGTTTATGTAAGAAAGACAAACAGAGACTGAATAAGATGCGATGCTGGATTTTCTCCTCGGGGGGGAAACAAGGGTGCACAGCTCCACGGTTTGCTGGACTTGTGATCAAAACTATCTGCCCCCCATCCCCTGTGCATATCATTGAGTCATAAGCCTGCAGGCACCTGCGTGGAGTAAAGCACACAGCTGAACTTTTTCCTCATGCTGTGTTGGAAAGACTGATTTCTCAGAAGTGCAAGTATCTTTTGAAAACAGCTGATCATAAGAAACCTGCAAGAAAATTGCCAAGAGTTCATTTATTTGGACGCCCCTCCCTTTTTGTCACACAACAATGAGAAACTACGAAATCAGGGACGCTTAGCTTAAGAAAATAATCTCCTTCATATTTTCAAGACCCATGCAGTGGGGCTGGTGCCCCAAAAAGTGATTTCCAGTGTTTCTATGTGTTCTTATGTCTAACACCTCTGTTTATTATTGATAAGCAGTCTGCAGTCAACAGGATTTCTGAAGGGGTTATATATGAGATAAAGAATTGACCTGTTTTGCAAGCATCTTTATGCCTCTTCGTTATTGAACATAACCTGTGTTGTACCTTAGGATGAATCCAGTCCTTTTTGATGGCTTAAAATATCTTTATATAACTGTTACATGATATTTGTTGCAACTTCTACTGCATCTCTTTTGAAAAAGACATTCTTAGTGCCGTTGATTGTTTTCCATTCATAAATAAAAGGATGTATAAAAGTCACTTTGCAAGAAAGTGACAGCAGCTTCAACCCCCTAACAGAAATGTTCTTTCTGGCCTAAAATTGCTCAATATCATTGACGAGAGATAAGTTTGACAAATGTTTCAAAGATCATGGGCCAACAAGTCATTTACAACAAAATGAATTGGAGTCCTTGACTGGCTGAATATGGCCCCTGGGGCCTTATGTTTGACACCCCATTTCTAAATCATAACATAATAAATAACAACTGATGCAGGAAAGTCTGAAGTCTGGAAAGCTAATCATCCTTAACATTTCCTTAAGAACTTGCTGGAACACAACATCCAATAAAACTGATTTTGGAAAAGTGCCATGGTGCTTTAGAAATACTAACAGATATGCAACATACAGTGAGTGTGCAAACACTTTGCAACTTGTTCTCTAATGTGTGCCTTTCTCTTTTTTGTATTTTGTATATACACGTCTCTTGATTGTGTATATATTCCTGCTGCCTACTATTAATATTTCCATTCCTGCACAGTTGCTGTAGAGCACCCACAATCTCGTTGTACACGTACAATGCCAATAAAAGGCTATTCTATTCTGCTGGCGCGATTTCAGAAGTGAAAAAGAAAGGTTTGCCTGCAAGATGCACTTCGTGTGCAGTTTAATGAGCGGGCTATGGCGATCCTGCAGTGCAGAAGTGAACTTTGGTCGTTGTGCGCTCAGACAGTGAAGTAAAACCGTTGTGTACACAGTTACCTTGACCTCTGCTGCTCTATCTGTCCGCCCTCCGGGCAGTAGTTCTGGGAGACTTGCCTGGAGTAGGTCGCAGGTAGGATTCCCTGAGTGTACGTCTGCAGCCTCCCTCTAGTCGAGGCTGGGACCGCGGAGAAAGGCGAGCTGAACGTCGAGGGCACAAAAGCGTCGCCCTCCGCGTCTGTACCGGCGGGGGGAGCAGTGGGACCCGTCCCAAAACTGGCCCTGCTGCTGGCATGGAGAGCCTGGTTTGCTAAAGCGAGAGCCTGGGTGGCTGTGGTGGTGGCCGCCGCCGCTGCAGCCGCCGCGGCCGCAGCAGCAGCGGCTCCGTACGCGGAGGGCTCCGTAGAAACCAGGCTCTGTCTAGTCCGAGCTTCCAGCGGGGTTTCCCCTTCGCTCTGACTACCCGCATCGTCCTGCACGGGCCGTCCATCCAGAGAAATGTTGCTGAGAAAGGACAGCGCCGCTTGCCTCCTCCTCGGGTCGATGCGTTTCCGCGTATGCTCGAGACTGGAGTGCTTTATCTGAAGCGTGGCTGTGGATGTGTTGCTGCTCGTGGCAGCCGCCATGGTCCACTTCCAGGTGTCCGAGTCCCACCCTCAGCAGCGGTCTCACCTCGCGGGCATGAGTGCTGATGGGATGGTCGTGCTTGTGTTGGTGAACGGTGGCGCCCGTCTTTTTAAGTACACGCGTTAAACTGGGTGAAAACAGCGAGGTCACGTGTGCGCAGTATTGTGGCAGCACAGGGAAAATTTGGACCAATGAGCTGTCGGGAATACATGTGTTTTTTTTCTTTTTCCTGACTGCTGAAGCCTCCACTTCTCTGATAGTGCGTGCTAAAATTACATAAACTCCGAGATGTTCGTAACATCTTCAATAAACTTTTTCTACCTGCTGTATTGTTTTTGCAGCCTTCACACTCCTGCAGGGTCAAAACTTTTTTTTATCCTTCTTTGTGCATTTCTAATTTTATTCAGACGTTTAGAAACTGGGCTTTCTAAATGTGCAGACATGTGTTATGTGCGGGGATCGGTGTGTGCTGATAGAATGGGGGCCTTGCTCTGTTTGTTTTGATAAAATCCATCGGTTTCGTGCACCGTATGAGTCAGCATATCTGAAGCGATAGCGCCATCTGTCCGCTTGTCATGTACTGGGTATGCTTTTTTTTTGGCCATAACCCAATTAAATATGCCATCTAGTGGAGTTTTTTGACGGGTGCTTGCAGCAACCAGCATATTTTAGTCTAGAACTAAAAAGGGAAATTTGGAGCATGTTCAGTGTTGGGCCTAATGTTTGATACCCCTGTACTACATAGTTAGAAAATCAATTATAACGAATAGAAAACACACATTAACAATAATAATAATAATAATAATGGTTGTAACAGTGATAATAAAAAATTAAATATGACAGGAAGACATAAAAAGGGGTATCTTGTCCCATGCCTTGTAGTCTACTACATATACACTATGTTTCTAAAAGTATTCACTCACCCACCCAAATCATTTAATTCAGGTGTTCCAATTACTATCATGGGTGAATAAAACCAAGCACCTAGGTGTGCAGACTGCTTCTACAGACATTGTAAGAAACAGTTTGGGGATGACCCCTTCCTGTTCCAACATGACCACACACCAGTGCACAAAGCAAGGTCCATAAAGATGTGGCCAGAACTCGACTGGCCTGCACAGAGTCCTGACCTCGACCCATCAGAACACCTTTGGGATGAATTAGAGCGGACACTGCAAGCCAGGCCTTCCCATCCAACATCAGTGTCTGACCTTACAAATGTGCTTCGGAAAGAATGGTCCAAAACTCGCTTAAACACACTCGTAAAGCTTGTGGAAAGATGTCCTCGAAGAGTTGAAGCTGTTACAGCTTCGGAGTGGGCTGGCATCATATTAAACTCTATGGATAAGGAATGGGATATCAGTTAAGTTCATATGTTTGTGAAGGCAGAAGAGAAAATACCTTTGGTATTATTCACCATAGTTCTTCTCTTTTAGACGCCCTTTTCTCAGGCCTGAAGGTAGATACTATAAAAAAGTGACTAGACCCTCAAAAACAGCTCATCATTTCCTTTTATAGTTGCATGTAGTTTTTTATGTGGATAAATTAAAAATTCTTGGCAGAGACGCTTTGATTCAGTTGTGTAAAACCGACTTTCTGCCAATTAAAAGAAGCTTCTCCAGATGTCTGTAATGTGCTGTGGGTAGATGCAACTCTCTAGAGGGCAGGCCTAAGAGTGAAACACCAAGATCCTTTTTTATTATTTGTACTCAATTAAATTCCTTAGAAATAAATGTTCAGAACCTGGAAATCAATTTACACTCCCAGAAGTAGTGAAAATATATTCCCCTATCAACAAGGCATTTCTAAACATATTAGTTTTCTTTAGAAAGTGTAAATTATTTCTATTTGCACACAATAACAGAATTATTTCAGAACAATGAAAAATTACCAGGGTCAACATTATTAGCCACCTAAAAAACTGACCTCTTTATGGAGCCATAGCACAAACCACTGTTGTGCAACGGTGTTCTTTAACATTATTATGGTCAAAGCTTGTAAAATCCAGTTAAAAGTTTGCACACAATATAGAAGGATTTGAGCTTGAGAAAGCATCGTGCACAAAACAAAAGAAATCGGTTTAGACTTGAGTAGAGTAGTTGATATACAAAGTTATCACAGCATTTCCTGCGTCATGAACTAGAGTGAGAAGCATCATCAAGAAATTCAAAGAGAGCCACACAGTGCAGCACAAGCCTGTCAGAGGCAGGAAGTGAAAGATTTTGAAGACTCTGGAAAGAAAATTGAGGTATGCTAAAAACAACCTGAGGAAAGATTACTCATACTGGAAGCTCGTTCTTTGGTCAGAGCTTTGGTTTGGCCACAGAGATGCACTCAGAAAAAAATATATTGAGTGGTTGTTACTTTTACAAGAGTCTAACTTGTAATTTGAACAAAAAAATCTAATGAAATTCACAAGATGACATGAGATTTCAAACCACAGGAAATCACTGGGGTTATAAGAGGCAGAAAAGCACATGCACACTTGTCTGCTATTAGTATTTATTATGGTTTAACCTGTCAAAAACAAAAATCTAAAGAAGATTCTGTATCAAGCTTTGTCGTCATAGCTTTCCTACTTTTTTTAAAGTAGCGATTGACAGCTTGGTGGTGCACTTTCTGTGTGGAGTTTGCATGTTCTCTGCATGTCTGCCTGGGTTCTCTCCTGGTACTACGACTTCCTCCCACAGTCCAAAGACATGCAGTTAGTGAGGTTAGGTTAATTGGTAACTCTAAATTACCCATAAGTGTGAATGTGAGTGCAAATGGTTGTCTGTCTCTCGGTGTTAGCCTGCAATAGACTGGGAACTTGTCCAGGGTGTACCACACCTCTCACCCTATGACATCTGGGCGAGTGTCCAGTCCCCCCGGTAAGATGGATGGAGTAACCAGTGGAGTAACACTGGAACTGGGAATCTTGTCAAGCCCCCAAAAGTTGATTCTGTTCATGTGGATGTAACGTTTTCAGTGGGAGAAACATTTCGTCACCCATCCAAGTGACTTCTTCAGTCTCAGCCGACTGCAGGTTTCCCCAATCTTATAAACAGGGAGGAACACTGGTTTGAGCGGGGAGTCAAGGAGGCCATTTATGTGAAAAGAGAAAGACCATCTCTGAACTGAGGAGGGAGTCTAAGGGTACATCTTTTGCCATTTTGCAGTCATTCCCCAACTCTCTGTGAATGGTACTCATGGCCATAGATCAGTGGGCTTTGATCAGTGGTTGTTGATCAGTGGTCATGAGAATTTGCATATTAATCATCAAGGAATTGACCTTCCAGCCCATTGCTCCTTCAGTGGTGCTAGTTTAAGTAATTATGCAAATGTACTGTTTATAAGTTTGGGGTGACGAAATGTTTCTCCCACTGAAAATGCTACGTCCAGATTATCAGAATCAACTTTTAGGGATTTACTTACCTGGATGATTGAGTATGCACCAAAATCTTGTCAAGGCAGAAGGAGTCATGAAGAAACAGGGAAGTGAAGATTTTGAAAGAAAACCTCCAGCAGTTAGCAGCAAGACTGGCTTGAGAGACATTTGCTTTGTCTTTCAATGCAACAGTGACTCAAAAGATACATCATTCCTGGTGAAGAACTACCTCAAGGATCCAAAATGAATGTTATTGACTGGACATAGGTAGCACAACTTGACTGGGAAAAAAAACAGTATTCACAAAGAACTATTGGCAAAAACTTTGCATATCTCATCATAGTGTTCACTGTGTTCTTAAAAACTGAGGAAACTGGACAAGTCGAGGACAGAAACAAATGAACAGTTCCTGAAAATCATGTTCTTAAGAAACAGGAAACAATTTGTAAAGTCCTGACACAGGACCGGATAAATATATCTGACCCTTCAGTTGTTTGCTGAAGCCTCATCAGAAATGGTCTCAAAGGAAGGATGGCTGTCAAGAAGCCATTCTTAAGGGCAACAGGGCAAAAATCTGTAATATGTCAGATTAAACAATAGCTGGAGTAAAAATCATTGGCAACAGGTTTTATAGAGTCATGAATTCAACACACACTGATGACAATTTAAACCAAAATTGTCAAATGCATACCTGGATAGAAGACCATGCAGTGCAACACTATCAGTCATGGACTGGGCTCCCCACAGCCCGGAGATCAACATTACTGAGGATCATCTTGACAGGAAATAGAACAAAAGAAAGTAACCACAGTTTGGTTTATTTTGGTAAATGTATTCAAAAGAATTTGAAAAACAGTATAATAAATTATATCTGCATCTATCTAGTTTTATAATTGTCATTCTTGGCGAATGAAAGCTTTCCTTTAGGTCAGCTCAGGAGTTTAAACCATACTTGACTACCTGATGTCAAAGAAGCGATTAACATGATTTTTTTTACACAGTAGGTAAACATAGGTGTAACCGATAACTTTAACAAAGACTCAAGAACCTCTGAAAGGCTTGACAGTGTGACAACAAGCCATATCATCTCACTGAAGCCAAAATAACCGACTTTCGTTTTGCCATCAATCCCTTTATTTGCTCGTTTATTTGCACCTGTTCCTACACTGTGACCTGTGTGACGTCTGTTTAACAATGTGTGCAACTTGTGAGAAAATACACACTTGAAGCCAAAATGTTAAATTATCATTATGGTAATGGAAAGAAAACAAGAAAATAATACAGTCTGTCCTAAAGAAGAAAACCTGTTAAATCAACTTAGAGCAGATGTTATAAAAAAGACAAACTGGTCCTACTGGTCGTTCTGCTCTTAAAAGATTGCAAGTAGCATAACGTTTTGTTACCACTAGAGGTCTCTGTTGCACTGTGTTGCATGTTTCCGACTGAATGCTCTGCATTGCCAAGAGTTTAATTTTAATTTATACTAACTGATGTTTGTGACACTTGTCGCCACATGTATATAATGACATTAGTAATAAAATCCTGGCAGTGTTTTTTTTTTTTTTTTTAAATTTTAGATATATCATAACTAGGTTAATATAATAATGGCATTGACGATTCCTTATACTTAAGGTAATGTTAATGATATTTAAAACTATACAGATTTAAAGACTGAATTAATTCAGTTCAGTTTTATTTTATTTATACAGCACTAAACCACAAGAATAGCTGCATTAAGATCCTTCATACTGTAAAGTAAA